GGCTCGTGCAATTTCCTCCCTTACTTCCCAAAACGTTCTGGGATACATTAGATCAGGTCCCGGAAATTTATCTGCTGTTATACTCTCTAATACCTCCCAAACCTCCTCTTCTGGAATGTGAACTGGTTTTAAAACATCAAAGGTTGATTTCTCTGTATTCTCTGGACTCCCCTTTTTTTCTATGCTCAGTAAAAACTGATGCCTATTATTCCTTTAATATCTCTCCCACATCCTGAGGTTCAACCCAAAGACAACATCTTTGACCTTTAAGGAGGACCTACTCTCTCTCGTTCCCTTCTTGCTCTTAATGTTCGTAAAATCTTTTTGATTATCCTTCACCTGACCATAACCAACGCTATCTCATGTCCCCGCTGATTTCTTTCTTCCGAATGCCCCTACACTCTATATTAGTGAAGACATTGAATTGAATCAAGTTGTCCATATCTAAAATAAAATTCTCCTTGATTCTTGACTAGACCCTCACTATCTTTATACATCCGTTGTTCCTTAATCCTTAATCATACCAGCCTTACCCTTTCAGTCTAACAGGAACATTGTCCGTAACCAGATCCTTAAAGCTGATTCCTTTGGCTGTTGGGTCATATAACCATCTTGTGATGCCCCCTTTGGGGGTATTTCACATTGCTAACGGTGCTCTATCTTGGACTGGTTCCCTGTTGGATTGATCGGGGGCCACGTTATCTCTATTTTTAGCCCCTTCCCGCGGGTGTGCAAACTGCTATGAAGTTAGTGAATACCATTGTAAAGACAGCTGATGGGTTTGAGAGGAAATCTGCCTTTGGACAGTTTGAGAGAGATTTCTAACGCGTTTGTTGTCTCTCTCTCTCTCTCTGTTTCTCTCCAGGAGCGACCACAGGCAGGACCGGCGAGAGAGACCCTATTAGATTGTGTACATATTCATTGGGACCATATGGGATTTGTACCTTTTAACTTTTTTATTTTATACACCGTTACTGTGTTTGCGATGTGCTGCGAGCTGTGTAATAACCGTTATATTGTGAGGGGAGCTGTTGTTTCATTTTGGTTTTGTATCTATTGGATTTTACCTGTATTTTCTCAAAAGTTGACATTAAAATGCCTCGCCTGAAGAAGTTATCCTCCTCCCTCCGGACAAACCTCTGGGGATCTCTCTCCCACTGCAACTCTCTCGGAATCTCTTCGGCCTTGAAACTGCTCGACCATGTCCTGAAGCAAACCAGGTACTACAGCCACATCACCTTCCTTAGTACCTGCCTACGGAACCAGATCATCCCCAATGGACTACAGTCCACATTCAGGCCTTCCCACTTTGGCCCCAGCCGTGACTATGATGCTGCTATGATGCTGCTTGGCCTGCTGTGTTCATCCAGCTCTACACCTTGTTATCTCAGATTCTCCAGCATCTGCAGTTCCTACTATCTCTGATTAAAATTCCAATAGTTTTAACAAGCCTGGCTCCCATAGCTTCTTTGCTTGGGGACGAGGGGAATCTCTGTGAGCTTGCTGGGATACGTTTGGATCTTTCAAGCTGCCTCTGAAGCAGTTATACGAACAGGACTAAGTCAGTTTAGGATATCTGGTCAGCCTGGCTGAGTTGGACCGAACGGTCTGTTTCTGTGTTGTGCGACTCTCCAAAATCTATGGCTGGAAACAAAAATCCGATCATGCTGACTCCCCTGGCCTGGGGGAAGGAGCTGGGCTCTTCACCTTATCCGTGCCCATCCGTGACTGTATAAACCTCTATGAAGCTCCCATCTGCCTCTTTCCCATCCCCAGCCTCTTGTTGTAACTCAAACCCACCAGTCTCTGCAAATCCTTGCAAACCGTTTCTGCATCCTTTCAAAAATTTAACATCCTTCCTGTAGCGGGGAGACCGGGATTGAATGCAGTATTCCCAATGCGGCCTCACCAACACAGCCGCAACATGACCTTCCCAATTCCTACACTCAATGCACTGACCAAGCGTCCCAAACACGTTCTTCACCACCCTGTCTACCTGCAATTCCACTTTCAAGGAACTATGTACCTGCACCCCTCCAAGCTCTCTCTGTTTAGCGACATTCCCCAGGACCTTACCATGAAGTGTATAAAGTCCCGCCCTGATGTGCCTTTCTGAAATGCAGCACCTCGCGTTTATCTGAATTAAACTCTGTCTGCCACTCCTTGGCCCATCTGATCAATGAGATCACCTCTCATTCTCCTAAACTCCGGTCAGTGCCAAACCCAGTAAGTAGCCTTTGCTTGTACGACAATCCCTCCAAACCAGGGATCATCTGGGTGAGCCTTCTCTGGACAGTCTCCAGTGAAGTAATATCTTTCAAATTACAGGAAACGAAGAGCAGGAACAGTCCATTCGGCCCGTCCTGTCGCCCTTCTAAACGAAAGAAACCTTTTGCATCCCTCTATTCCCTGTCTGTTCGTGCACCTGACAGGATGCCCGCTAAATGGTATCGTATCTGCTTTCGCCACCTCCTTTGGCAGCACATTCCAGGCACTCTCCATCCTCCGCGAGGGGATTTAAAAATAAAACTCACCTCTCCTTTAACTCTTCCCCACCCCTCCCCAGCTTTCACCTTAAACCTATGTCCCCAGTAACTGACGTTTGCAACCTGGGAAAAAGTTGGCCACGCTTCTCGTAACTTTGTAAACTCCTGTCAGGCCGTTCCCTCAGCCTTTGGCGCTCACGTGGAAATAGAACGAAGGTTGCCCAGGTTCTCCTGGTCGCCGATGCCCTCTCCAAACCAGGCAACATCCTGGTAAAGCTTTCCTGTGTCTTCTCCGCTGCCTCCATGTCCTCCCCCTGGTAGCGTGGCGACGAGATTTGTAAGCGCTGTTCCAAACGCTCTCGAGCCGATGCTCTCTACAGCTGCATCACATCCTGCGGGGTTTTTATATATTCTTGACTGATGAAGGCAAGCACGCTGTGTGCCTTTCTGACCACTTTTCAGGGAACTGTGGGCCCGTGCGCCCAGATCTCCCCACCCCGATGCTCCTACGGGTTTAACTGTACGCTTCCTGCTTGCGTTCGATCTTCCAAACACCTTTCCTTAACGGAGGCGAGCAAAAATGTTCACAGCACTCCCGGGGTGCGCTCTCCCCAGCACCTTGGCCAGCTGCAAACAGATTTCCTTGCTCTTACACTCCCCAGCCACCCCGCTGCTATCTGCCAGCTCTCTGCGTGCCACCCACTTTGTGTTACAGCTTTCTCTCCATTTCGATGACACTCTGCTCTTTTGTTCTCAAACAAACGACTCCCCAGCGCCGTGTCCCCCCCAACTTGCTGACATTTTGCTCACCCCCCTTTCAACGTCGCTGTCTCTCTCGCAACCGGCCTCTCCCTTCCCTGCGTTTTTAAGTTGACTGCGAAATTCCCTCGCTCCCCCTCCCAGTCCAAACAGCAAACAAAGGCCCCTGCCCACATCACGTTCCGACGTGCCTCTCAGTTCTGAAGGTGTACCCGACTCTAAATCTGAAATCTCTCTCTTTGTGCAGATCATGCCTCTGCCCAGCATCGGGGTGCGTTTGGCATCAGATTTCAAGTGCTCGTCACAGTTCTGCCTTTGATCTTACAAACTGTTCCCCTGTCCCCCAAAATGCCAAGCCCCCCCCCCCCCCCAACCCACTACCGCCTACCAGCTCATTTACCTCCCCGTTGACACTTGACAAGAGTCACACACAGCACGGAAACAGACCCTTCGGCCCATCCAGTCCCATAATCCCAGACCAGTACATATTCCCTCCAAACCCTTTCCTCTCCATGTACTTATCTAAATGTCTTTTAAACGCTGTAACTGTACCCACACACACGCCTTCCTCAGGAAGTTCACGCCATACATGCACTACCCTCTGTGTGAAAAAATTGCCCCTCATGCCCCTTTCACCTTAAACCTATGCCCCTCCTTGTTTTGGCCACCCCCCCCACCCTGGGGTAAAAGCTATTCACCCTATCCATGCCCCTCATGATTTTACAAACCTCTATAAGGGTCACCCCCTCAGCTGCTCCAGGGGAAAAAAAAAAGCCCCAGTTTATTTTTATAACTCAAACCGTCCAACCCTCCTGAACCCTCTCCAGCTTAATAATATCCTTCCTATAAACAGGGCGACCAGAACTGGACACAGTGCTCCAGAAAAGGCCTCACCAACGTTCTGTACAACCTCAACATGACGTTCCCAACTCCTGACTCTTGGAACCACAACGTTGGGACTGAGTTTTGAGGAAATGGAGGTGGGGGGGGGGGGGGGAAAAACAGGGGGCACATGTAGCACATATTTTAAAATAAACAATAAATTGTTCCCCTTGTTCTGGTGTGGCTTCTGTGCGAACATGCCTCCCGAATGCCTCCTTCAGCTCCAGGCTCCAATATTGGAGCGGACATGAGGGGGAAGGGGGGATAGTACACGCTGACGGTCTGAAGGAGGAATGGTCATTGGAGGGATTTCGAGGGGAATGGCTCTTAGTTGTTATGGTCAGTGGGTAGACCCCATTCTTTAATCTCTGTGCCCCTAAGTACCGCCCACCCCCTCAACCTCTGGAGAAGGTGGGTGTGAGCGACCATCTTGAAGCATGTGGCACTGTCGGGGAAGGAGCTCCAGGATTTCGAGCCCGAAGGAACGGCCAGCGGGGACATGAGGGGTCTCCGATAGGAACGTGCAGGGGCCGGTGCTCCCTCCTGTGTCTGCTGCCCCTCTGGGGGGGGGGGGTGGGGGGGTAAGAGGTGGCGGGTTTGGGGAAGGTGCTGTCGGTGGATGAGTCACTGCGGTGGGTCTTGTAGACGGTACACACTGCTGCGGCTGTGCCTGATGAGCGAGGGAGGAGAGAGAAACAGAAACGGAGCGAGGGACTTCCAATCGTGGGCAAAATAGAGGGAGGTTTGCTGGAGCTTGAGGAGGTTACACAGATAGTGCTGATCCCTTCCCCAGACAGTGCGGAGCTCCCTCACAGAGCGCCGATCCCTCCCACCCCCTGACAGGGGACTGTAAAATGCATCTGCACCAGTGAATAAAGTAACAAAAAACACAACCGCATTTATTACAACTTTGAACAACTACAACAGAACTACAGAAATGAGAATGTGTACGTGGGCTCCCGGAAGCTCAAGCTGAAATTATTGCCGACAATTTCTTGATAAAAACACGATCAAAGCCTCTCCGGTCCGTCCCTTTCAAATCCTGAGCTGCATCCTCAAGGCAGCTGGCAGATGCACAACGGCTCAAGTCGTTTAAAGCTGTACCCATTGATAGGCACTGAGTCACGCACCTTCCCTCTCATTCTTTCACTCCGCAACACGCTCGCACTCGCTGTGACTCGCTTGCACACTCTCTCTCTCTCTCTCACTGTGACTCTCTTTCGCACTCACTCACTGTGACACTCTCTGACGCGCTCGCACTCTCTCTGTGACTCTCTTTCGCACTCACTCACTGTGACACTCTCTGACACGCTCGCACTGTCTCTCGCACTCACTCACTGTGACACTCTCTGACGCGCTCGCACTCTCTCTGACACACACACGTACAAACAAACAAACAAAGTCTGAGTGAACCAGTGTCATCCCGGCGCTACCCACTGCTGTTCTCAATGTGTCTAGGCAGCAGCGATGATGGGTGGGTAGGGGGTGGGTCTGTGTCTCTGGGGAAACCCTCTGTTCCCTGCCCCCTTGCCCGCTCTGTGCCATCTAGCCCCAGTTGATTCACTGTCCTCGCTCTCTCTCTCTCCCCCTCTGGTGCCGTCACAGAAATCCTGCTCCTGCTCCTCGGATCTCGCCCGAATCACTTCTTCGAGAGCTTGAGCTGCTTGTGTTTTGGTGGAGCCCATTTCAGACAGATCGAGTCGACTGGGAGAAGGGTGGGGGGGAAGGAGTGCAGGAGGGAGAGAGGGAAAACAGTGTGAGGGAGGGAGGGAAGGAAGGAAGGAGAGACGGGGGACGGTCACCAGAGAGAGAGAGAGAGAGAGAGAGACACACAAGGGTTAATCAGATGCCTGACTGCATTGCTATACATCACCGGGTGTGCACTGGGGGAGGTGGAGGACAGTGTATCTAATGCACCGTGACCAACACCACCCCCCACCCCCACCCCCACCCCCCACCTTGCTGTCCCAGGTGGGGGGTGGTGATATTTACCTGTAATTGGAGGCTTCTTGTACTGGGCACTCTTCAGGTGTTCCTCCACCAGTTTCGGGGTGACACAGATAACGTGCTGACCTTTCCAGTATTTGACCATGTTTAACGACTGCAATGTGCTGATGATGTCGTTCTGGGTAATGCTGGTCATCTGACTGCAACGGGGAGGGCAGTGACAGAGAAAGGGATACGTCAACCCAGAGCGACAGAAACCTACAACCTACGGCCTGAGAGCCGCAGCATTTCCATTCTCTCCGTCCCACTCCCCTCGCTCGGACACTCTCCCTGCCCTGCAGTCGGCGTTTCGTGTGCCTTTCCAATCAATTCAGCTTACTGCCTTATCCTGAAAGCTACTTGTTATGCGGTATCCCTGCAGCGAGGTTACAAAAGCTACAGTGATAGACTTCGTACCCAGACACTGGGGAAATGCTCACTCTTGTTATCATCCTACTGTTAGTGGGGCCCACATCTAACCAAGAGGCAGATGGTAGGCCCACAACATCCTGTTGGACGCTACAAAGTAGCGCCCACACGGCGCTGGCCCTCCGACAGCGCGCGGCTCCCACGGCGCTGGCCCTCCGACAGCACCCGCTCCCCTCAGCGCTGACCCTCCAACAGTGCGCAGCTCCCTCAGTGCTGACCCTGAAATCCCGCTGAGCACCGACCTGAGATCTTTGATGGACAGCGTCCCTCGGAAGTCCCGCAGTATCTCCAGCAGAACCCAGGACCAGTAGCTGCGGTAGCTCAGCTTCCCGAGGTCAGAGAGGGGCTTCTCTGGAGAGCCCACCGTGCTTTCCAACTTCGACAGCTCGTAGCCTGAGGGGGGCAGGGGGAGCCAGCCAGGAGACGACGCACGGTATTGAAGGGGTAGGAAGAAAACAACAAGACGTTAGATTAGGACTTTGCATGTGACAGACGAGACACCGAGGTCAGGATTGTGTTCCTTCCACCCGGTCACCGTCTCAAATCCCACCGGGAATTTAAGTTTGATTCCTCAGCTCTGGAACTGAAAGCTAGTCTCAGTTACGTGCGTGGGAAGGCAGCGGCGGCCAGGCCCTCTGAAATTAATAGTCAAACACGTGCGTGTGAGAGAGCGAGAGCGAGAGAATGTGGGGTGCACCCGAGTAAGAGTGTGCGTGTACGACTGTGTGCGTGTGTATACGAGTGTGTGTGTGTACTAGCGTGTGTGTGCGTACGTGTGTGTGTTTGGGGGCAGTGGGAAGGGGAAGGCCTGGAACAGAGCTGCGGGCCTGGAGTCACGTGTACAGCCACAGGCCAGGCTCACTTTGCCTGAATTGCTATTGCCCCAGCCTACCCTCTTTGGATCGGAACCTTTGCCCCCAGAACGTGAGTCCGGGTCTCTGGATTAATAAACCAATGACTTTTACCCCTGCGTACCCGCGAGTGAAAGGTGGGGCTGGGTCTGGGGAAGTGGGGGGGCCGGCACCATCCTGGACTGCTGTAGCTCTCCACCCCGGCTCCATGTGGCGCAGGACTTTGACCCTGAAGGAATGGCCCATATTGTTCTGAGTCGGGACGTCAAGGGAGGGTGGGGTGGGAGTCTCTGAGGGGAACGTTCAGGCGCTGTTGTCCCCCACACCCCTCCGCTGCATCCCCTAAAAGGAGGGGGGGGGGGGGATAAGAGGTGGTGGGTTTGGGGAAGGTGCTGTCGGTGGGTGAGTCGCTGCGGTGGTTCTTGTAGACGGTACACGCTGCTGCGGCTGTGCCTGGGGAGGGACGGGCTGTTCAAGTTGGCTGCGTGGTGGGGAGGGTGGGGGGGTTGCTTTGTCCCTGGACAGTGCAGACCTTCCCGAGTGCTGTCGGAGCTGCCCCCCGTTCAGGGGCAAGTGGGGAATATTCCCTCCCCCCTCCTGCCTTGTGCCTTGTCGATGGTGGGACAGGCTGTCGGGGATTGGGGGTCAGGAGGGGAGTTACAGGATTCCCAGCCTCTGACCTGCTCCTGTAGCCACAGGATTGATATGGGGCTGGGGTCCCAGGTCAGTTTCTGCTCAATGGGGACCCCCAGGATGCTGGTATTTTTGGGGGGGGGGAAAAGGGGGGGTTCAGTGATGGGAACACCATCAGGGAGGGGTGCGGGGGGAGGTTAGATTCTTGAGGACGAGCTGTGTGCAGGTTACAGATGGATACAGGATAACAAAATGCTGACTTACTGAACGCAATGAGAAATTTCCCGTAGCCCCTGCGCTGATATGGTGGCAGAGTCAAAATACAAGCAACATTATTCCCATCAGGCGACTCCTTCTCCTGTCCAACACACAAGAAAGGAGGGGGCAGTCAGCTCACAACACGTTAACGCCCTAAGGAAGGCAATTCAGCTCATCCGCCCCAGTGCTAGCGCTCGAGTCCTCGCTCGATCAAGTACCATTCACCTCCTAAAGCCTGCAACTGTCACTGAGTTGTACACTGCGTGGGGGCACCAGGTCTCGTCGCACCGACACCTCCCCCAACTCAGTGTTTTCCCAATTGATCTGCAATCACGTTCTCACGGTTTCTACGCGCCCGAGACGGGGGTGGGGGTGAACGCAGAAATTGAGTGGCCCGGACGCTGCAGGCTCCGCTGGATCGGGGAGAAAGCTCAGCTCCGAAACAGAGTCAAACTGTAGCTGCTCGGGGCGTTAGCGCGGGCTATTTTGGGGACAGAGTGGAAAATAATGGCGATGCGCGTTGCTCTGCGCTCAAAACGCTGCGAGGTGAGGTTCGGACCGTGTGTATCGGGCGGGAGTAAAGTGGGGAGGGGCGGCTCGGCAATATGTCCGTCTCTGCAGCAAGATTGCAGGACGTTACGTTAAAAGCCTCTTCCTATTCCCCGCCCCCCCCACCCATATTCCCCTGGAACTGGTGGTGATGTTCTCACTCACACACTCAGACAGAGGTGCGCATGCTCACATGCAGACAGACAGACAGACACACACACAGACAGACAGACAGACACAGACATCCCAACAACAACAGCCAAGCCTCACTGGGCCCAGGATGAGGCCCACGGCCCAGGGATGCAGTCTATGGTCCCCGGCACAGGGGCCTAGCAGCCCGGGATGAGGCAGACCACTAACCAGGGATTTTCTCAGTGCCCCCCCACCCCCCGAGATCCCAGCCGCCCCCTTACCTTGGAGAAATAGCCCACGATGTGTGCCCCGTGCCGGTCCACCTCAGTCAGGATGTAGAAGACAAAAGGTTCCACGTCGAAATACAGGGTCTTGTGGTCAAGGAAGAGCTTGGCCAGCAGGCACAGGTTCTGGCAGTAAATCTGAGATGGAGGGGGATAACATTACAGATTGGAAAATTAAACGCAGAATGGATAGGGAGTACAGTGCCCCGCTCCCTCGGCACCGTCCCTGGGCAGCGCGGGAGTA